GCTGAATTTTTTATCGTGTTTAAATAAATGCTGTTGTTGTTGTTGTTGTTGTTGAACAGCGTGACGAATGCGAGTCTGCTTACTCGAAGCGCTCCGGTCGGAGCAGAAGTTCAAGGAAATCGCAGAAATTGTCGCACTACTCAAGTTCTTCCCTCCCTGGAAAGGCAGAGATGCTGGCTAAGGCCACAAAACTTGGTGCTGAGCAGAGATTTCACGATCTCGAGAGTGAAAAGGTCGCTGCACTGAAAAGGCAAGAAAGTGATATCAAGAAATTACAGATAATTAAGGAGCTAGCAGCTACTACGGCCGAAATCGAAGCCATAGCCAAGATCGAAGAGTTTTACGAACGCGATCTCCCAGAAGAAGATGAAGATCCCTATGGCCAAATACATGAATATTTACAGTCACAACTGAACGCCGTTATTGACGACAACTCCTCCACCGAAGCGGCCACTAACCCAGCAAATGTAGTCACCACTGTATCTTCGGAAATCAACACCCGGACTAACGTCACATTTGCATCGACGCCGCAAGTAGTTCCTAACTTACAGCAGCCTCCTCCCAAGTCTTGAAGCCCAGTGGTCACTCCCTTTACCGCAGAGTCCATAGCAACGCCACCTATAGTAAATTCAGCCATTATCCACTCTGACTCGCCAACGAGAGGCATCAGTCCACCAAAACCGACAGGCGATGAGAACGTCATTACGAAACTAGCTGATGTACTCACTCAACGACAGGACAGGGACTCACTACCTCGCCCGGAACCTGAAGTGTTCAAAGGGGATCTTCTCCGTTACCCAATGTGGATCAAATCCTTTGAGACCTTTATTGTTCGTACCTTCGTCTGACGGATTACAACGACTGTATCCACTGCTCACTGGTAATGGGTGTGACGTGTGACCCCTCTGAAACCCGTCACCATGCCAAGACTCGAGCTAACCGCAGCAGTTGTCACCTCCAAGATAGGTTACATCTTACATAAGGAGCTAGAGTACGAAGACATGAAGGAAACGTACTGGACAGATAGCAAGACGGTCCTGGGGTACATAAACAACGATGCAAGAAGATTTCACGTCTTCGTGGGAAATCGAGTACAGGAGATTCGCGACAAGACATCACTGGACCAGTGGCACTACATAGGAACGAAAGAAAACCCTGCCGACGTTGTCTCTCGCGGCTCCAGTGTGCAAGAACTGATCGACGATCGTTTGTGGTGGAACGGCCCAGACCTTCTTTGGAAACTTTCCAAAGATTGGAATCTCACCCACGTTACTACTGCAGTTTCCCCTGAAGACCCCAAAGTTAAAAGGGTATCCACTCTAGCAACAAATGTTCAGGAAGCATCGTCTTTCCTGGAATGCCTGGAATACTTCTCCAGTTGGCACCGTGTTAAAAGGGCTGTCGCAGTTTGCCTTTGCCTTCAAGAGAAGTTCCGAAGTCCAAACTCTTGTGATGAGAAAGTTAAATGAGATCCAAACGACTCAATATCAAGCAAGTATATTCCTGCTAATGTTGAGGAATTACAGAATGCTGAGAACAAGATCCTCAAGATGGTTCAGAGGGTAGCCTTTCCCAAAGAAATACGTCGCCTGAAGGAGTCGAACGTCCAAGGGCAAACAAGTGGTGAGAGAACCGTCACACACGAAAACAAGGCTATGAAAAAAGCAAGCTCTCTCTATCAACTGGATCCATTTCTCGACGCAAGCGGCGAGCGAGTGGGTGGAAGAATCAAACGTTCTAGCCTGTCATATGGTGCGAAACATCCCATCGTCCTTCCCAGGAAAGGACACATCACTGAGCTTATCATCTGCCATCACCATCAGTTAGTCAAGCATCAAGGTCACAAGATAACCCATAATGAAATAAGGTCAGCCGGATACTGGGTGATTGGTGGAGGATCTGCTGTGTCTAACCACATTGCAAAATGCGTGAAGTGCTGGAAGTTAAGAGGAATTCCCCAAGAGCAGAAGATGGCAGATTTGCCAGAGGACTGCCTCGAACCCGCTCCTCCGTTCACGTTCTCTGCAGTAGATTACTTCGGTCCGTGGTACGTCAAAGATGGTCGCAGAGAATTAAAACGCTACAGAGTACTCTTCACATGTCTGTCTTCCAGAGCAATCCATCTTGAAGTCTCAAATACCATGACCACTGATTCCTTCTTGAACGCTTACCATCAATTCGTTGGTCGTCGTGGTTCAGTACGGCAATTACAATCCGATCAGGGGTCGAATTTAGTGTACATCAAGTATAACGGTTTCCTGAGTGGTCCTTGCTAAAAAAGACGGCAAATATCACAGACTGTTGTGGAAAGATCTTGATCCCACAAAGCCTGTGGATGTCTATGAAGCAGTCCTTTAACCTTTGGAGACAAAGCATCTCCTTATCTCACCCAGTTCGTTCTTTGCAGCCACACCCTTGACTTTAAAGAGAACTACCCAGCAGCAGCTATGGTCCTGCTTTGAGATATGTACATGGATGATGTCCTTTACTCAGAAGAAACTGCAGAAGATGCAATTCTCGATTGTCAAGATTTGATAAAGGTACTGGGTGGCGCTGGTTTCTGTGCCCAAAAGTGGTGTAGTAGTCAAACAGAGGTGCTAGAAGAAATTCCACAAGAGGATCGACAGTTGGAGTAAGGCTTGAAGACTCAGAATTACCAAGTGTCAAGACATTAGGAGTCCATTGGAATGCAAGTGAAGATGGTTTCATGCTTGTTGTCAAAGAAATCAAGATTTCCATTTACACAAAGTGAGGCCTGTTAAGTTGTATTGCGACACTGTTTGATCCGTTTCAGCTCTTGGCACCATACATCATCAGAGCAAAAATGGCTTTACAAGAGGCCTGGTTAAGAGGTCTTGAATGGGATGAAGAGTTTCCTGACAATTTAAAGTTGATCACTCATCAGTGGGTCAAACGGTTGCCTGAAGCTCCACAGGTCAAAATACCATGTCACTATCATTAGCACAAGGAAGCTGTGGAAGAAGTCTCACTTCATACATTTGTTGACGTGTCTAGATTGGCATATGTCGCAGTGAGCTACACCAGATACAAATACAGGAGTGGACAGATCTCAGTTACCCTGGTAACAGCCAAAGCAAGAGTAACACTGATTAAATCCATCAGCATCCCACACCTTGAGTTAATGGCATCAGTACTTGGAGTGTGGTTAGCTGAAATGGTCTCTAAGGAGCTGGAAATTCCATTAGGTCAACACACCCTGCGGACAGACAGTATGGACGTAATCTACTGGATCCAGGGTCACTTAGGACAACTGAAATCGTTTGCTCCTAATCAACAAGCCAAAACTCAATGGAAATCGGACCCAGCTCAGTAGTGACATATATCCGGAGAACAAAACCCCGCTGACAAGGCAACAAGAGCTCTGGACCTTAAAAACTTATCCCCTAAAAGTTGCTGGTTCCAGGGACCTGCCTTTCTACACGATGGGGAGACTGCTCCCACCATCCCCCCTTACGACTCCCTTGTCTTTGAGTGGCAATGGTGGCATTTGAGCGTGGATATGCAAGTTAACCTGAACATGCCCTTCTCCCACCTGGGTTGAATCCCTAGGCATGAAAAGGGCAGAGAGGGGAGAACTCAGAGAGTGTGTTATGGTTTTCCCCTTATAATTATATTGGATGGAAATTCTTCATAAACACTTTGAAGAAACTAATCAAGGTTAGACCACTTAGACCTTCTGTGATGTTTTCTGCACCTCCTGTGGCACCCAAGCTCTGCAATTATAACTGGTTTTTTCGTTTTTGCTGGGGACTGTCGACATCACACACAAATTTCTTTAATATTTTGAGAGAAAGAATTAATTTATACTTTTTAGCTTACACATCCTCCTTGAACAAATAGCTCTGCAGGTGGCAAAAGAACAAAAATAGCCCAGGGAAAAGCCCCACAAACCCCAAATTGATGACGCATTCTGTAGTTAACCTTGTCACAAGTCAGTATTTTATGTTCCTTTCCTTTTTTCCCTGCATTGTTAGATAGAATTATAATATCTGTGAATACTTCAATTTAAGCGTTCCCCACGCCATTAATTAGTTTTGACAGGAGCCCATCACTGGTTTTGAATACGTTTTGAGAGACGAAAATGTTGAGTGAACGCCAGTGTTTTCCAACGCAAAAATATTTGCAAAAATCCTGAAAAGACATGAAAATAATTTTGCTGTTAAACTTGGTGTCGTTTTGCGTAACAGTGAAGTGATTTGCTTGTTAAAAAGACTATTTTATCAAACAAATTCGACGTGTTTACTATATCTGAATCTTGACTAGATGCCTCTGTTTCAGATTTGGAGATTGAAGTGCCTGGTTATAACATCTACAGGGTCGATCGAAGCAACAAGACTGGCGGTGGGATCTGTGCATAAGTCTTGAATACCTATCATACAGAACTACTGGGTGATATCTCTGACATTTCAACCACCGGTTTTCATCAGCTTTGGTTGAAAATACAGGTCAGGAATTTAAAGTCAATTATTATTTGCACTGTTTATAGACCTCAGGATACACCGCTAACCTGTTGGGAGAACGATTTAACAACAACTTTCATTTATGCGTTATCACTGGATAAGCCTGTGTACATAATGGGGGACTTAAACTGTAATCTTCTCCGCACCGAATGTAGAGAATCGAAATCTTTAACCAGTTTTTATGAGTCATTTAACTTATCACAATTAATTGCTGCTCCTACTAGAGTGACCAAATCGTCGCGGTCTCTTTTAGATGTTATTCTCACTTCGCAAACCAAAAAAGTTGTAAGGCTGGTGTCATGGACAGCTCGATTAGTGACCACGACATGGTCTTTGCCATCCTACATCTGAAAGTATCTTGACCTAAGACCACATATATTACAACTAGGAGTTTAAAAAACTACAATCCAGATGCTTTTCAGTTTGATATGTCCGGTGCACCCTGGTCTGTTGTGGAAGTATTTGACGATGTTGATGACAAATTACATGCATTTGACCTGTTGTTCAATGAAATTCTTGATCATCCCGCTCTGACTAGATCCATTAAAGTTCGTGGAAAACCAAATCCCTACATAATGGAGGAGATACGTGAACTAATGAAATCTATGAATGTCTGGCGCAAAACAGCTCGTAGAACTAATGATCCACATGCCTAGTCTACCTATAAAAAGCCTTAAACACCAAGTCAGAAAGTCAATCAGAGCAGCAGAGAGTGAATTCATTAAAGATCAGATCCAAAACAACCCACGGAACACAAATTGTATTTGGAAGGCAATCCGGCTCTGCATCCCTAAAAGATCAGTCTCCCCTAAAGTTACAGCAAAGAGGACAAGATGGTGGTGGATACTTTCAATAATTTTTTTGCGTCAGTTGGAAAATCAACCAATTTCAAAATAGAATCTTTGGCTGAAGAGAACAACTTCGACTTCAATAACAGCATCTTTACTCCTAGAAGTTTTCCAACATCTGAGCAATTTACATTTCATTCTGTTGAATGTAAACAAGTCGAGGACCTTATAAATGCAATGCCTTCTAATAAGGCTCCTGGGATTGATAAAGTGCCAACTCGAGTCATCAAAGACTGCCTGCCAATTATACTCCCTTTTGTTAGACCAATCATCGATGCTTCTCTTTCATCTTCAACATTCCCAGGGATCTGGAAAACAGCCGAAATTACACCTATTCCCAAACAAGGCAATCACGAACTTCCTAACAATAATAGACCAATTTCGCTACTACCTGTGTTGTCAAAGGTCTCTGAGAGAGTTGCTTATAATCAGTTTGTCACCTAATTGACAACAAAGAAGAGGCTGACGACAAAACAAAACGGAAGCAAAAAATGGCACTCTACTAATATATCATTATTTCGCACAACTGATGCATTTCTTAAAGGAATAGATAATAAGAAATTAACTGCCTGTGTTCTCCTAGATATGAGCAAAGCGTTCCATAGTGTTGACCACCAAATACTGTTACAAAAACTACAAGACGTTGGCGCCTCAACTAGTGTGCTACGATGGTTCAACAGCTATCTCACAAATAGATATCAAGTTGTGCAAACTCACCCCACTGTTTCCAATCCAATACCAATTGAATATGGAGTACCTCAGGGTAGCATCC